AACATGGAGATCTTCTCCTAAGACACTTCTCCTTGTTAACATAATTCATTGCTTGCAAAGTCCTTGAACTACTCTCAAGGTCTGTTCAATTTCCTGCGTTTTGCCCTCTAACCCCCTAAATAAATACAGGCTACCCGGAGACATCCCCTGTCTCAGCCACAGAGTCCCTGAACTCTGCAGAGGGTTTTGATCCTTCTGGAGCCCTAAAATCATTTTAAAAAAAGGAAAAGAAAAAGAAACAGAGCTAGAAAAAACAGACAAACAAATGAAAAGAAACAAGTTAGCTTCTCATCAAAAGCTGTACAATGAGAAATATTATACAGTGACATATTTAAAGGATTAAAAGACAAAAGCAACTAACCTATAATTCTATTTATAGCAAAAATAGCCTTCAAAAGTGAAGCAGAAATAAGTACGTTCTCAGGTGAACAAAATCTGGATCATTTTACTACTGGACATGCCAATCAAGAAATGTTAAAAGATTTTTTTCTTTTCAGACAGAAGGCAGATGATATACATCAGAAGTTTGGATCTATATAAGAGGAGGAAATATTGGAGAAATAATAAACATGTAAAATAAATATTACTTTTAATATTAATTGAGCTAAAATATAATTTTGAAGCAATTATTGTACCAGGGAAATGAGTTGTTGCTGAATAAATTGACCCTAACATCACTGGAATGTGAACAGGGGATTGAGAATGCATTTTATAAGATACCTGTATTACATGTGAAGCTGAATAGTATTATTTGAAAAGAGACAGAGATCAGTGAAAAACCTATGCCATAAACTCTAGAATGAGCACTAAAATATTCTTTAAAATATAACTGATAATCTAAGGGTAAATGGAATAATACAAAGGTTCAATTCAATGAAAGGAAAAACATAAAAGAAGCCATTGACAATCATTAGAAAGTAGTTACCAAGATGGTTGATATAAAACCAAATATATCAGTAATCATGCTCAGCATGAATGGTTTGATTACACCAATTAAAAAACAGAGATTTAAAGAGTGGTTAAGAAGACAAGACTCAACTATCTCTTGGATATAAAAAGCCTATATTAACATAAAATATCTAATGAGTTAAAACTAAAGGAATAGAAAAAATATACCATGTAAGCTCTAATCAATAGATTGGTAGCAGCTAAATTTATTTCATATAAAACAAAACTAAGAACAAAGAAAAATATAAAGGATAAAATGGAGGATTGGTAATTCATAATCATAAAGGGGCCAAAATAATCTTAATTACTGATGTACTTACAGATACAAAATACATAGGACAAAATATTATAGACCTGAGTTGTAAGCTTGATAAAAGAAATTGATGAATCCACTATTACAGTTTGTTACTTCAATATTTTTCTACCCATAATGTATCAAATAGACAGAAAATGGAGAGGTTATAGTTCACCCAAACAACACTAACAATTAACATTATCTAGTTCAGATTTATAACTAGTACTACTAACTAACAGCACAATACATATTCTTCCCAAGTTTTCATAGAACATTCACCAACACTGACCACTTTCCAGGGTATAAACATGCCTTATTAAAATAAAGGGAAATAGAAATCATAAAGGATGTTTTCAGAGTATAATGAAAGTATCCTAGAAATCAAGAGAAGATAACTAAAAAGTCACAAATTACCTGAAATTAAACAACATCTTTCTCAATGATGAGGTAACAAAGAGAAAATATCATGAATCATTAAAATATATTCATATAAATAAAAATATAATTTATCAAACTATGTTTTACGTGTCAAAAGCAGTCATTAAATATACAATAAAAATCAATATATAAAATCAGAAATATGTTTCACCCAGGGTATTACAGAAAGAAGAGCAATTTAAGCCTAAGACGAGCAGAACATGATGCTATGGTTTGTGTCCAAAGCCTCATGGGGGCAGGCTTTACATGGGTGGCTGAATCTAAACGCTGTGGTTGATTGATGGTCCAATGCTAAGGGTAAGGGGTACACCCAGGGGAAGTCAGCCTGCATACAATATGGGGACAGAAAGAGTCTCGTCTGTCTTTCTCGGTGTCTTCTGCCACCACGAATGGTTGCCCCTGCCACGCCACCCTGCCTGGCAGCCAGTTACGGCTGGAATCTGTACAAACTGTGAGCTAAATAGAACTTCCTTCTTTTAGCTTTAGGTGTCTGGTGTTGGTTATTTTGTCTCAGCACTGATACGTAAAGTTGAACATAGGAAAACAGTAGGAAAAATCAATATAATAAAAACTGGTTCTTTGAAAATTATTATTTAAATTAATAAATATGTATCAATATAACAAAAGAAAAGTTGTTAAACATAGTGTCCCAATGTTAAAAATGAGAGGCCATAGTAATTTTACAGACATTGAAAAAATCAAGTTATTCAGGTAAAATCAACCAATTCCATGAGAGGGTCAGTTACCAAGATGTACCCCAAGACAAACAGTTACCTATATACCTCTATGCCCCTAACAAAATTGAATTAATAATCAGTAACCTTTGAAACAGTTATGAGATCCAAGCAGTTTCACGAATGAATTTTATCACATATTTAATGAAAAAATGATGTCAATTCTTTACAAACACAGAAAACAGAAGAGAGAGGTTCCTAATTTATTCTATGATGCCAGCATTACCTAGATACTAGCACAAGATAAAGACATTAGAAGAAGAAATTTACCTCTCATCTCTCATAACTGTAGATGCAAAAACCCTATAAAATTTGCATATTGAACTCAATGGTATATAAGGACACTTACATACCACAATAAAGTAGGATTTATATATACAAAGCTACTTAAACTTTGAAAATTAATCAATGCAACGCATTACAACAACAAACTAAAAACTTAGTATCACATTATGTTAGTAGACACAGAAAAAATTAAGACAAAATCTAGTATCCCTTCATGGTAAAAATTCTAAGCAAACTAGGAATAGAGAACAACTTCCTTAACTTGACAAAGAGCATTACAAAAGCCCTGTAGATAACAACTTAGTGGTAAGAAACTGGATGTTTTTCCCTAAAATCAACAAGAAGGCAAAGATGTCCTCTTTACTATTACTAGTCTACATCATATCCAAAATTCTGGTTAGTTCAGTAAGACAAGCAAAAGAAATAAAATGGATACTGATTGAAAAAGGAGAAATAACACTGTCTCTATTAGAAGATGGCAATATTATGCATTTTGTGGAACCAAAAGACTCCAGAAAAATAATCCTGGAATAGCAAGCAACTCATGGATACAAGATTAATACATAAAAGTCAACTGCTTTCCTGTAGTCCAGCAATGAATATTTAAAATTTGAAATTAAGAAATATCATGTATAAATCCCAGAAATGAAATGCATATAAAAAGCATAAAATGGGTATAGAACATATGCCCACAAAACCTCAAAGATCTATTTAAATGAAAATATATTTTATATTCACAGACTACAGGAAGCAACATTGTTAAGATGTTAAATCTTCCCAAACTGACGTACAGATTTAATGGTATATGAATCAAAATTCCAGAAAGCTATGTGGTAGCTATGCCTAACTCATTCTAAATTATATATGAAAAGACAAAAAACCTAGAGTAACCAACGTAATACTGAAGAACTGCAGTAGAACTGACAGTAACTGACTGTAAGACACTACAAATCCATAGTCATCAAGACAGCCTGGTATTGTAATCAAAGCAGGGTATAATAATCAAGGATTGCACACGTTTAGCACTGAAACATATCAAAGACCCCAGAAACAGACCACTACAAATACAGAGCCAGCTGATCTTAGACAAACATCCAGACCAATTCAATGGAGGAGTAGAGGGTAGTTTTTTGGTTTTCCCAACAAATATTCATGTGCAAAAAAAAAAAAACCATTTAGACACAGACTTTCCTTGCAAACCTAAATGTTAAATGTATGGCTATGAAACTGCAGAAGAAATATATAACTAAATATATATTACGTTGGCTTATTAGTGTTTTGAATACGAATACAAAAAAAATTATAAAAGAGAAAGAATGACCTAAGGTAGACTTTATTAGGGTTAAATACATCTACTCTGAAAAAAGTTAGGGAAATGAAGGGCCAATCCTCACATTGGCAGTGTATCAGGTACTTCTATTTGAAATATGTAAAGGAATCTTAAAACTCAACAACACAAATAACCTAACTGAAAATGTGTGAGAGGTATGAACTTCACCTCTTTAGATACAAAGGTATCAGATAGAAGCCAAGCCTGACTTCCAAAGCCTGTAATTCCAACACTCTGGGAGGCAGGAGGCTCTTTAATTTGAGCCCAGACTGAGCAATTTAGTGTTTTAGCAACACGTGATATCGAAACAAAAACATACACATACATACACAGGGCTGAGAATACAGTTCAGTGAAAAGTTCCTGGGTTCAGTGAAAAGACACTGAAGCTCGCCACTGCTTCTCAAGAAGAAATTCAAAATTAAAAAACTGACACAGCTCTAAATATCTATTAGGATGCCATATATGAAATTATATACATCAAATATATTTGCGCATACAGACGAGTTCCAGTTTGTCACACATATAGACAGTCCTCAATGGTTCAGTTTTTTGTTTATTTCTATAATGGTGCAAAGAACATACATTCTGTAAGAAGTACTACTTCAAAACTCTGGATTTTGGTCTTTTCCTGGGCCAGACAGGCTCACTGGGAGCCTCAGCTCTGGGTCAATGAGATCACTGATTCTCCCTGTTAGCGATGGTGTAAGTTAGGGGTATGGAGTGCGGTTTTTATTTATGATATTTTCAATGCAGCATGAGCTTAACTGGATGTAGTCCTACCGTAAATCCATGAGTGCTTGTGTGTTAGTGCATGTGCATGTCCGATAATTTTAAAACCTTAGTCTATACTAACCTCGCATCCAAATGTTTGTAGAGTATCTACTGGGACTGACCAAACCCTGAACAACACTGGAATATCCTTCACTGAGTAAGTGGATCAACGAAATTGGATTCAAATAATCGGATACCTGCTTCTACATGGATGAGTGCTGAAGCCACAAGGATGCACTGAATAATCGGTTTCCTGTGTTGCATATTGCATAATTTGTTGCATAATTCCATGGATGCGACAGCCTCCCAAAGACAAAACTGTAAGAGAACAAACATACCAGCTACTGCCAAAAGTTAGTGCTAAGGAGGGCGTGGCTATGAGGCACAGAACTAGGAGTTCCCTGGGGGTCTCCTGAAGGTGCTGCGGGGAACCTGAAATCCATTCACGGCTTAACAACACAGGCTTTCATCTGAAAGAGTCAATTTTACTGCTCAATAATTTTAAAATGTCAGATGACTAAACGCTATTAAACATGTAAAATGTTTAAGGCCAGAGGAAAAGCCCTAATGTACGAGTAAAGCGACACTTGCCAAGTAACTCCACTTACGTATCCTGTCTCTAAGGGGTGCAGGGTCCCGGGACACACCAGGGCCGGGGGCGCCACGGCAGAGGTCGCCCTGGCGGAGGGGGCGTGGCTCCGGGGGGCGAGGCGCCCGCGGCGGCGCACCCGGCCGGCTCGGCGTCGCCAGGGGCTCGCTCTTGGGTGGTGGCCGGCGAAGGTCAAGGAGGCCGGCGGCGGGCCAAGGTCAGGGACCTGGTAGGAACGAAAGGAGCGCGGTGGGCGAGGCGGGGCGCTGCCCCCGGGCGCGGAGACCCGGGGCCGCGGAGCCCGAGCCAGCCCCGCGGCGGACACGAAGTTGGGGCGCCCGGGGCCACGGGGCGCGGGCACAGGCGCGGAAGCCGGGTCCCCGCAGTCCGCGCGGCGCGGGCGCTCGGGGGCGGCCGGAGGGCCAGCGTGGTCGCGAGCACGCGCGGCCCGGGCGCCCTGCGCGGCGCAGGCGGAGGCGCGGGCGGGGGCGGGGGCGGGGGCGGGGCGCGGGGCGCGCACGTCCGCGCGGGGCGGGGCGCGGCTGCGGCCGTGACGTCCGGGGAGGGCGCGCGCGGGGCGGCGGCGGGCGGAGCCGGGGGGCGCGAGGGGCGGAGCGCAGCGCGGGGGGAGGCGGGGGAGGAGCGGCCGGACGGCGGCGGCGGCGGCTGGGGAGGGGGCGCGCGGGCGCGAGCGCACAGCTGATCGGCGGCTCCGGGCAGAGGAAATGGAAGTCGGGTAGCGGCGGCTGCGGCGCGGCGCGAGCGGGAGCGGGCGCAGGTGAGAGGCGCTGGCCGCGGTGCTGCTGGGCCGCCGGGCCGCGCGGGGCAGGTGCGGCGCGGGGAGCGCGAGGTCGCGGGGCGGCGGGGGCGCGGGGGGCGCCGCGCGTCTGCATTGCGGGCGCCGCTCCGGACCCCGTGGGCGCCGTGGCACCGGCTCCGGCCAGTGCCCCCGCCGGGTCGGGGTGCCATCCGCCCCGGCCCCTTCGCTGTCCGCACTGGGACGTGATGACAGGCGTGGGGGCGTCGGCCCGCGGTCCGTGTGGGCGCGTCGGGGTCCCGCGCTGCCGACGGACGCTGGGGCTGGGCTCGGCCGCTCACGCGCCACCGGGGCTGAGGCTGCGTGGGCCACCGGGGCCCCACGCAGGGCCCGTTGCGCGCTTGATCTCTCCGCTGGGTCTCGCTGGACAGCAGTGGAACCGTTGATGCAATTTGGCCGTGAACCCGGAGGCCTCCCTGGCATCTCCTCACTGGAGGGGAAAAATTGCATCTGCTGTGCCTTAAGTGTTCCTTTAAATTTGGGAGATGTCAGTGATGTCATCATTAACTAAAACTTTCCTTCATTGGACACCGCCGCTCCGGAGTACCCTCCTCCCGCTGGTGCAGCTACTGCAGCCTTTTGAGAATCTTTGCAATCCAGTGGGTTTGCCAGTGCTCTCTAAACTCGCGATCTTCACAGGAGTGAACACAGTTTTATTTTTATCTATTGGCTTGGAAATTAATACATGTAAGAGCGTTTGAAGGGAAACTTGTTAGATCCCCACGGATCTAGGAATGGCTTTCTCCACGGCGGGCACAGATCCAGGGAAAGTCATGTATGACAGTACCTGGTGTCGCTTGCTTGTCATTGTAAACGAACATGAGCCGTCAGAGGAGCGATTTTTAAAAAGACAGTCTATTTAATGAGGCAGATGATGGGTGGGGGAAAGGGAGCGAGTGGGGCCTAATTCCTCTCAGGCCTTGATTGCTTCAGGCAGATGTGCAGGTCCCCTCCTCCATCGCTCCTTCCCAGGATGTGCCTGGCAGAGTCTGCCTGGGCAAGGGGCACCAGTCTCACGAGGGTCCTCACGGCAGCTGTGTGTGTCCAATCCAATGCAAGACCTTTACAACATGCACGGAGGGTCTGGGAGTGCGGAGGCTGGACATCTGCACAGCACACCAAGTTCTGGGAAAATTCTTCCCTAAATGTCAGTAACACACCGGCATTTTATCGCGTGTGCCATTAGCAGGAACTCTAATGGGAGCAAAAGTAAGCAAGTTCCCAAGACAGTCTGAACATCTACTTAAGCCTGTTATGTCAAGAGCACATCCAATAAGGGACCAAAATATTGACATTTTTGTATTTAATAATTAATGGCCACTCCTAATTGGCTAAAATACAGATGCCTTAAATTATTAGTGTGATCATATCAGGTCTACAAGGAATTTAATACTATTATATGTGCCACAGAAAAACTTTGAATCTGATTTTAGGAATATGAGGCTTTTGCATCTTGAATTGGTGTGGGAAAAAATGGGAAAACAGCGGTTTACTTTAGATCCTTGGTGTTCAAGGTGACACTGGGCGTTATCGCTTTCTGAAGTCTTGCAGGTGCCAGTCTCCCCTGTGCGTGGCTGATGGGTGGCAGGTGGCCCCTGAAGTGGCTTTGAGGCCCCCCACACTGGTCCTGCGGGGAGGAGACCCTTGCTCTCACCTCCTGGTGGTGCCCAGTGTAGTCGGATCCACATAAGATGGGAAGCCTTGGAGAACTGGTTACAAATGTTCCGCTTTGCCATGATTTTGCCCTGCAGATGGTTGCTTTAGAACTTGAGCTCTTAAGTTGTCCGTTGAGATTTCTCTATATTTAAAGTGCTCTGAGGATAAGAAGAGTGGTTTGCAGGGCTCTGCACTGTGAACTCACTGAAAATCTGGTCTGTGAAGCTATGCTGGTCCACATAGCCATTCTTATCACCTGTAGACCTGTGAACATATCACCATCATGTTTCTACTTAGTTCATTGTAATACTTCCAAAAATACAAAGGCATTGGGCCTTCAGGGATAAGTCAGTTATTTCCTAAAACATTTTTAAAAATCACTTGAGACCCTCTTCGGTCACCTTTTATGTCCAGAAGCAGTAAGTCTTCCATTTCTCAGAAGCCAGCCTTGCCTCCTCTTTCTCTGCCTTCACCCTGCATCTTGAGGTAGTTGGTGCATGTCTCAAGCCCCCAGGATGAAGGCTGAGTCAGCTCCTGCCAGACCAGCAGGGGGCGTGCCAAAGGTGGCAGTGGCGGTGGGCTTCTATCAGGCTGCCTTGGGAGGACTGTGGGGCTGGGGAGAGGGCGATTCCTGTGTGTGTGTGTGTGTGTGTGTGTGTGTGTGTGTGTGTGTGTGTGTACACGCCAGATCTTCTCAATTTCTCTCCCCTGCTGTGAGCCCAAAGGATGGAAACTGAAGGGGGCACATATGTTAGATACCAGAACTGGGTCTCCCTGTGAGGGGCAGGGAGATGAATGGCACCCTCTCTTTAGGGAGTGTCACGCCTTGACTGTGACGGTTCAGCCTTCTCAGACTGCAGAGGTGAGTGTGTTGGCTTGGCTTGGGAAGGAGAGACTGACCCTGCCACCCAGAGCAGTTCACGAAAACTCCCCTGCCATTAATGTGTGCTCTTACTTTTCACGCTTAATTGGCTTCAACCCCGGGTCCCTATGCCACGGTACTCCCCAGGAGGCCCTACTTGTTCTCTTTGCCTCCATGAGTTATTAGCCTCAAATTTTCTCTGGAGAGAGCAAAATTCGAATCAATGATAAATTCCCCATAAAAAATGAAAACAGGAGAAAAGGTGAAAAGGTGTGCTTTCCATGTAAATGTGCTTGTCTGACTGCAAATGTACACCAGTTAGTTACACAGCCCTGCGTTCCCCGTGAGGCTTTCCCCTGGGGCCCACAGATGCCAGCACTGCCGAAGGGTCACCTGATGGTCTCTGTGGCCACCTTCCAGGCGGTGGTGGTGGTTACAGTGTCTTGCCATGTTATGGCTCTCTCCTTTCCCAGGGCTCTCATAGAACTTACCTTCCAAGCAGGACTATCACAGCTCAAGAGGAGCAGAGTTTAATAGGTTCCCAACGAGAAAACTACCCAGATGCCCTCACTAGCTTTTGCTTTGTGCTTTTTATTCTTTGAAACAGCCGGGAAGGCCAAATTATTGATTTCAGGGGGGCAAACGGAAATCACCTTTTTTCAGCTGAACCAAGCTTATCCTTCTGAGCTATAAATGGCTATGGAGCAGTGCCACTGTTGTAAAAGCAAGTGTCACCAAATCCCATGTGAAGCTGCCTGTCACTGAGGGTAACCACAGAATATCCTACTTGTAGGGAATCCTGAAACCCACAGATATTTAAGTGCAAAGAAGGAGAATTTTATTTACACATCAGTAGGCTGCCGCATTCCCTGGGAACTTTGGGTGTTGGGCAAAGCATATGAGAGTTTTGACACAGATGTAACAGAACAGTGAGCTGGGAGACGCCTCTGCCTCACGTTTGGGATGGAATTCATCATTTGTAGAAACATAAAGGTTAAGGACAAATCTTTAAAATGCTGAAGTTGAGGAGAGGGCTAGACAGCACCTTTCCTGTGCCTGTGCTGTGCAGTGTGGCTAGCTGGGCGGATTGTATGCTGCCTCTCTGGACTGGGGGGGGGGGAGGCGTTAAAAGGAGGCTGGGAGGGGCAGGTGCTGCGTTGGCCGCAGCCTGGCACACCGGGAAGGGCAGAGCCTGGTCATGCTTTGGGTTCCTCCTGGTAGAAAGAGAGTTAGCCGCCTGGGTTTCCACGGCCTCATCCAGTGAAATCCCGGGATTCCACACACGCCTGTCTTGTAATTACTTGTTTTGCCTGGATTTCTGCTGCATCCCCTGGTACACTCTGCGAAGACAAAGATGCATTAATTCAAATGCGAGCTTTACATACCTCTGTTGGTTTAAGCAGATAAGTCTAAAGTTAGTTCGTGTTAAGGGTTTAAGGGGTTTTGAGTTTTCCTCCCAGTGAAATATTTTCTGTTTGAGCATAGTTTATTCTTATCTGGTTTTCCTTCCAAATATGGAAATTTGATATCTGAATGAATACATCTGAGCTGCAGTATTGATTTATGAAATATTAAATTAGGCCTTTATCACTCATTTCCTTGTCTGTTCAGCATTTCATTCAGTTGTTCTTCTGGCTGACTGCAGTGTTCCCTGTGGTGCTGGATGGCACACTCATCCCTCTGTGGGATTAGATGGAGTTTCTCAGTTACTGGGACGGGGTTAGGGGCTCACTTAGGAGGAGGCGTCTTCATCAGGTGGGAGCGGACATCTGTCCCTGGTGCTGCCTTTCTCAGGTTGAGCCTTCTCTTCCTGGGAAGACACTGGTTTTGCTCCCCCAGCACTGCCCTGACCCTCCTAGAGCAGTTTACCCAACTTTCTGTTCTCAGGCTTAGAAATTATCTGCATCAGGCTCTCCTGGTTCTTATAGCAACCCGGCAGATCTTGCTGGTGCCTCAGCTGTGACATGCCCTTCTGCTCCAGTCCTTCCTATCTGTCTTTTAAATAATATCATTCCATCGCTTGAAAAAGTCATTACTGAACTGTTAAAATCAAATGGGAGTTCTTCACCTTGAGGTTGATTCAATACCTTTTTATCTAAGGGGGATCCAAAGACCTTGCCATGGTTACAGTCATTTCCCCAGGATCCCTTTAATGATGAGTTAAGATTTTAAATCAATGTGTATTTATCTTACTCCTTTTTCTTGGCTGTAAAGACATGTCTAAAGCTGTGTAAGGTTTTTTTTTGCTCACGGTTTTGGAGATTGCATGTCTGAGATCATGTTCATGTTGTCCCATCTGTTTAGGCTCTGATGACAGCCCCTTGGGCTGCATGACAATATGGCAGAAGGGGACAAATGCAGCCCACTCCCTAGAGAACTAACTCACTTCCGGAGAACCACATTAATCCCTTCAGAGGGCAGCATCCCCAGTAACATAATTAGCTTGCACTAAGCCTCACTTCTTTAGGGCTCCACCACTTTAGTCTGAACACTAAGAGCAAAGCTTCCAGGACGCAATTCTCTGTGGGCTGTCCTCAAGCCTCATCCAAACCATGATGTTCATCTTACTTGTCAACCTGATTGGATCAAGAAACACCTGGAAAAGGAGTAAAGCACAGTTCCATGTGTGTCTATGAGAGTGTTTCCAGAGATACTTGGCACGTGGGGAGGCTAACTGAGGAGCAAGACCCTTCCTGAAATTAGGTGGTATTTTGCAGCAAAGCTGGAGGCTCAGTTGAAATAAAAATGGAAGCCCAAGCTCTTGGTCACCTCTCCTTCCTCCCTCTCCCTTTCTTTCTCCCTCACCCTCCTGCCTTCTCTCCCCCCCATCCTGCTTTCTTTCCTCATCCTTCTTGCCTGCCAAGAGCTGAATAACTTCCCTCCATCTTTCCTTTCTCTCATGATGTCTCTGCCTTGGAGCCAACCAACCATGGTCTGAAACCTCTCAAACTATGAGCCAAAACAAATCCCTCCTCCTTTATTTTCTCAGGTGTTTTGTCACAGCAACAAAAAATTAACAGCAATATTGTTGAAGTGTGCGCCACATAAGTGCATGTATAATTTCATAAGCCTTAAAGCAAATCAGTGTCCCAGATATACATGGGTAAGTTTTGATTTTCCATTTGAATGAATGGGATATTTTTTCTGCCTGACTTTTAAATAATATCATTCCATCTCTTGCAAAAGTCACCACTGAACTGTAAAATTAAGTTCTTAATTTCTGAAGATCAGTAAGTTGTTCCAATAAAAGGAATTGGAGGTAGAGCATGTCTGTCGATCACTAGCCTAGTTTCTCTCCTTTATCAATTGAATCGTTATAGTTTGTGCTTGTGACTCAAGGCGTTGCTTGGATGAACTTTGACTCTTTCTTTCAGAAAAATAAGGAGGCATGAGTAAAATAAAACTCTAGAGTCTTTTATGTTTTGCTGATTCTTGGAGATAAGAATTGTTAGCAGCTGTTATGCTTTCTGATGCTGCCGGTCATGTACCTTCTAGACCCCCAAGCACTTATTGATTGGGAACATCATGGAACAGTCTTTCATGTCTTAGAGTTGATTCAACATTGGTCATTTGTATAAAAACTAGGAGGTGAATGAGAGGAAAGAAAACAGCATTCTGCATGTGAGGTCTTGTGAGGAGATGCCAGGGAGGGGAATTGTGCTGGTGGACAGTGGTGAGTGTCCTGCAGTGAGGGTGGTCTTAGTATTTTTCCCTGGGTAGCACATGGTATATTGCTGCCTTTACTCCGAGCAGTGTCTGCTTCTGTTCCCAGAACAAATCTTTGGGTCTTGGGACCACAGGGCGTCCCTCATCTTGGCTTGATTATGGTGAAGGACAGAAGTCTCTGGAGCATGTCTAAGATAACAGGTCCACAAGGAAGGTCATGGATCCTTTGCCAGCACTGCTGCTTATTAGGCTGAGTGGAAGCTCTGTGGCTATTTAATTTGGTGCTACGCTTTTGCAGCTATGGAGTAGGCAGACTTTAAGGCCAAATTAGATCTCATGCAAACACATACCCTGGGGTTTCAAGGATAGGCTGCAGTCCATGTCCTTGTCTTTTGATCATTTCACTTATGATGTCAGACCGTCTGTCCTGTCTGAAGTGCTGCTTGTGACCTTTGGTCTCAGGTCCAGTTGGTTGTAAGTACCTACCTGACTCTGGATTATTAAACAGAGTATGCTCAGCATGGACACCTGTCTGGAATATTTTACCTACACTGAGTAAGGTCCACAAGGTCTCCTCTACAAAGTTGATCCATCCCATTTTCTGGCAGGCAGTGTGTTCAGAAATGCATCCTCACAAGGGGACCTAAGGCTTTGAATGTCCAGCAGAGGGGTGGGTGTGGGTGGGCTTCTTCACATGTGTGGTTTACTGGCTGGAGATCAGTGTGTTGTGATGTTTACATCAGGCTCCTTCCCTGCTTAGTACTGACTAAGGGCCTGACCTTCCCGGAGGAGAAATAGGACTCCCTCAGGCTGTACCCCGACTGAGGATGTATTTTCTAGGTCTTCCCTTCACAGGTAAGGATGGAGACCATCTACCAACTTTCTAAGATTCCATTCAACTCTGTGATTCTGTACAAAATTAATTCCCTAGATCTCCCAAAGTGGTAATTAAAGAGAAAGAAGACTATACTCACCAGTATGAGAGAACAAATAGGACAAACTAGGTGACTCTTAAAAATATTAGTTTCCATTTTTAGGGTTGAAGAGGATACCAAGGATTTGAACAAGTGTGTATGGTGAGGCATAAGTGGTGAGGACAAAAATCCCTCCATTAGGCTGGGAATAGAAGGCGATACATGAGCTGTTATTACATCTCCGAGGCACCTTGTTCAGAGCAGACACCCAATTTGTATTTGTTAAATGCATTTAATAGCCCTATGGGAATTACAATTAGAAATTTAATTATTCTTTCTAGAATTGCTTAGTTCCCATGAGTTTAGAAGCATTGTGGTTGAGAATGTTGCTTATATAAATTTGAGACATTTAGAAATTTAGCTCCCAATTCAGCAGCAGGCAGCGTTATTTTTATTTGGGTTACACACAAAGAGCACAGATTATTTACTGATTAGCTGGACTAGGTCTTGCTTGGCCTCCAGTGGAGTACACGTTCTATGAAGAGTTATGGGTTCACATTTCCCGTTCCATGTATCATAAACATTGCCTGCAGTGTTGGAGAGTTATTAAATATACCCCTTTGATGAGGCAAATTGTTTCACAGTAAGTTTAAAAAAAAAGTTAGTTCTGCCTCCTTGCATATACTAATGTTAGAAAAGAAACAATTAAAGGTCATATGAATGAGTCATGTATGAAACATTCCTTTAGAGAAGAAAATTCATCATGGAAAAGCAGATGTTGTGGCTGATTATATTAACTTCTTATACGGATTGATTGTCCTTTATCCAAAATGCTTGGGACCAGAAGTGTTTTTTAAATTTTGGATTCTTTCATATTTGATTTTTTTTTCATTTAAAAGAGAAAAACCACAGAAAAGAAAAAAGAGACAACAACACACTCCAAACAATAACAATGTAGGCTTTGAAAACAATATGATAGGAATTTGACAATGGGTGTTATATTGCATATTGTTATCTTCAGAAGAGTTGCTTAGATTGTTAGATATAGACATGCGAAATTGATCTAATCATGTGTTAACTGTTCTTTTCCAATAACTAATGCAATTAGTAATACAGTCCTCTTAGCCATCATATGTATATATACACAAGTTTATGTCTTCTTCCCTTTCCCTTCCTCCTCTCCCCCACTCCAGTTACTCTTCCCCTTTGAGCAGTTTCTTAGCCTTACACAATATTTATTATAGATTTTGGATCTTACTTTCTCTTTCAGTCTTTTACTGGGGAGACAATACGGTATTTATGCATGTGAGTTTGATTTATTTCACTTACAAATATGATCTCAAGTCTCATCCACTTACCTACAAACCTAGATACAATCCTTCCTTATAGCTGAGTACTCCATGGCAGTTCCAATCAAAATACCATTAGTGTACCTCACAAATCTAAAGAAATTGTTCATAAAATTCATCTAGAACCAGTAGAGACTTAGAATAGCAAAGGAAATCCTGGACAACAAAGGCAAGGCAGGAGGCATCACAATCCCCAAATTAAAATTATACTACAAAGCTACTGTGATAAAATTATCATGATACTAGAATAAAAACAGGCCTGAAGATCAATGGAATAGATTAGAAGATACAGCCACAACTGCAAACAGTCTCAGCCACATTATCTTCAACAAAGGGGTCAAACATGTTCACTGGAAGAAAGACAGACTTTATAATAAGTGGTGCTGGAAAAACTGGCTCTCCACATGCTGAAAAGTAAAGCTAGACCCAGGTCTATCACCCAGCGTTAAACTAAAGTCAAAATGAGTCAAAGATGTAAATATTAAAACAGAAACAATCTGCTAGAAGACAAATTAGGTAGAAATCTTGATGATGCAGAGGTAGGCAAAAATTTATGAACAGAAATCAAACTGCACAAGAAAAACTTCCCAGAATCAACAATTGGGATCTTGTCTTATTACAAAGCTTTGCATATTAAAAGAAATCTCCAACAGAGTGAAAAGAAAACAATGAATTGGGAAAATGTCTTGGCCAACTGTCTCTCAGACAAGGGACTTCTCTCTAAAACATATAAAGAATTAAAAAAATCAGGCCCCCAAAATTCAAAGACCCAATCCAAAAATGGACATCTGAGATGAATATATACTTCTCAGAAGAAGAAATACAATTGGAAAATAAATATATGAAAAAATGTTCAGCATCATTGGTCATTAGAGAAATGAAAATTAACACTGAATTTCCATCTCACTCCAGAAAGAGTGGCCAGGATCAAGAAATCAAGCAATAACAAACACCGGAGAAGCTATAGGGGAAGGAACTCTTCTCCACTGTTGGTGGCAGTGTAGACTGGTGCGACCACATGGAAAGCAGTGCAGAGATTCCTCAAAAACATAGGTTCTGTGTGATCCAGCTAGCCTGCTTCTGGGTATTTTCCCAGAAGAATTGAAATAATCATACCACAGTGACACATCGCACCTATGTTGATAGGAGCACAATTTGTAGTAGCCAAATCTTAGATTTTAGAATATTTGAATATACATAATGAGATATCTTGATGATAGCCCCCAACTTGAAATTTATTTTTCATCTCCATTTTGTACACATAACCTGAAGATAATTATATACGATACTTTTAATGTACCTGTGGTTCAACTGATCTGCCGTGGGAAGTCAGGTGTGGAATTTTCCTCTTGTAGTGTCATGTTGACACACAATAGTTCATAGTTGGGAACATTTAGTATTTTTAGATTGGAAATTCTCAATCTGTATTTTTTAAAAATGGCAAATTCTAAACCAAGCATCTCCTTAGAAGAAAAGAGGCTGCCTGTAGGCCCATCTTCCCCAGAGGTGGAGAAGCCTCATAACAAGCCATTTGCAAAGCAGGAGCGCCTGGAATGCGGGTAGCACGGCTTGATCTGAACTCAAAGGTCTTGGAACCAGGGAGGGTGATGATGTAATTCTCAGACCAACACTTATAGCCTACAAACTGGTCAGGGGTGGGATTTGCTGGAGCCCTAGAGTCCAAAGGCAAGAAAGCTTGGAGTTCTTTATGTCCAAGGGGAGGAGAAGAGGAGTATCCCCCAACACACATGTTAGCTTCTTTGTTGTGTTTGTGCTATCTGAGCCCCCAGCCAACTGGTTGGTGCCCTCACACTTCAGGTGAATCCTCTCCACTGAGCCCACCCAGACTTACATATCATTTTCCAAGAACACACTCTCAGGCACATCTAGAGTTAATGCTTTTCCCAGTTCTTTAGAATTCCTTAATTCAAGTTGACACCTAAAATAAACTATCGCACTCTCATTCCCCTATGTCCCTGAGGTGGCCTCTTTTTCTGGCTAAAACAGCATCTCAGTAGCATTGTACGCCCACGGGAGCAACTACTAGCTAATCCTCTGTAAGAATATTTTCTTAGTGAAGGAGGCTTTCTGCCTTTAACTGCCCCAGGATCTTTCCTGAGGGCCCTGCGCTCCAGAGCTATTGCCATGGGCGTCCTTGACACCTTAACTAGTCTGACCTAGGAACTGTGCTACCCACACCATTCTTATAACCACTACTGCCTTCTGCTCCCTCTGTGTCTCTCAGGGGTCCACGCCTCTTCTCAGCAGGGTTCCTAGAGACCTGCCAGACCCCGTGGTCTGCTCCTAAACAAGATTCTTTGTTATCTATCTCACTATTCAATTTGGCAAGAGAATAAGACCTACCTATTTCCTGTATCAGAATCACACAGCACAGTCATATACTTGTTGGTTGTCTCCATGGTACTGGGTGGAAAACCATGCTTTTTAAATAAAGTACTACTGGGAACTTTTCCCTTTAAGTAATTAGCATCCTCCAATGTTTTTCTTTTTCATTTTAAATGTTTGTGTTCCTGTGAAAGTTTCCCAGGAAGGAATCAAATCACTGTAAGCTTTGTAATAAAAACTAAGACTCACAGTTGAATGTAGTCTCCAGTGAAAATTCTTTTTACAGAACATAAAGTCCATGGTCCTTCTGACCTCTATACCCCCTCTCTGGGCACCCTTGAATGTGCTCATAAGGTCAAGTGTGGAACCCAGAGGCAGATGAGGTTAGCCTTTACTGTGAAAAGGCATACGGTCATGTGTTAACGTTTTTGGTGTAAGAGATGATCAGGGCACCAAAGAGTGGGACAGTCATGTTTAAGACCATGGAAGAGCAGCTTAGAATCAACCTAGACCCCAGTCCAAAGCATGTATTCTTCGTGTCACCTTTTTCTAGCTCAAGGAAGAGAAGCAGAGATGTATTCCAAGCCAGGAGGCATGCTGACCATCTGCTCCCCTCTGTGATGAAACCATCTGTCTAAATTTACAAAGATGCTTCAGTGGAGATAGGACCTCAGTCTGATCTCTATACCTATAAGGTCCTCATCTCACTAACTCCTAATGCAAGACTCAAAGAAAGACATGAGAAAGTATCCCTGGCATAGATGTCTGGCTGCCATGGCAACGGACCTCTATGGACCACGTTGGTCATTGGGCTGGGCCAATTCCTGGCGACATAAGCAAAAGTAAGACAGCTTAGGATGTGGGCAGCTCTCAGAGTGGTGCAGAGGCTACCTATGTAGGCTCCACACGGACAGAGCATAGTCAAGGAAAAGAGTAGGTTCCACCGTCATGGTTAGGCAAGGCTCAGGCAGCCCATGTGAATTTCTAGAAGGAAGCAGAGCTTTTCCAACGCCAGCTTCAGCTTCTTCATCTAGACACAAAGCTGCACTCTGTAAACTGTATAAAACTACCAATGCCAGGACCTTGTTTTGACACTCCTCACATTTTCCCAGATGATTTTTTGGAAGCAGTAATCAATACCTGGAGGAAATGTGGGAAAGTTGAACAGAAGTCATTGGCAGCATGTGGAACTGGCATGGAGGAGTTGGTTGACACCTCATATTGGCTTAAGATGGCCCAGAGGGCAGTACTGGGCTACATGGCAGACTGCAGAAAAGGATCAACTGGAATCAGGTCTGGGGATCAATTTTGGCGGTTCCAGGAGGCTTCAGCTACCACCTCCTCCTACTAGGTCTTCCCCATACCTTCTCCATGGATTGTGACTTCCCCGCAGTCCCTGGGTAGTAATGTTTGAGGAGCCCTATTTCTGATCCTCTGTTCACTTTAAGCATTTCTGGGCATTTTTCCAAGGCCAGTCTGCTGTCAGCCCGACGGACCTTCACTTGGCACTTAGATGGAGCAGGATCTGCCTCGCCCCCTGGCTTCTCTCACCTGCTCCATCCACTCCCTGGAGCCTTGGATTTCTCTCAGGACAAGCTTGCCATCTTTACTTTCTCTCTAGAGTGTCTGGGGAAAGGGGCAGGACGCTCAGGTGCCCAGGAGTGCTTGAGCGCTAGAACAGACCTGGATGAAACACCCCATCCCCATTCCACTTTCTATTTGTGCTGTTTCCTGTGAAGAGTTCTTGACTGAGTTGATCTTCCAGACAATGTCCCCGCATGTGACACCTGACTCACGCATGACATCAAGTCCTGGTTGGCTGCTTTCCCAGTCCTTCGTTCCTTGGGACAGAGCACAAACCACCCTGGGCTGTGATTCTTTTCCTGTGTGGATAGGGCAAACTTGGGCCCAGAGCCTGGTCTAAGGGTTGCCCTATCACTGGGTACTTAAGGCAGGACCCGCTGCTGCAAGGGAGGGTAAGACCAAGCACCTTGCACTATTGCTGCGTGGGGAAGGCAAGAATGTGGTCAGCAGCTCCTGCTGACAGCTGTTACACAGAAGTCACCTGTGAATGGGGCGGAGCTCAGTGGTCACCAGACACGGGCAGCCAAGCCTTTCTCTGCTCTTTCCTGTGATGCTCAAAGGAAGGCAGGAAATGAAGAGCCCAGAGCTGGAGGAGACAAATCCTCGATGGGCAGACACTGTGCAGTCTTTGCTTTTTAAGGAATGCACCAAAGGTTTGCTGAAACCATTGTCTAAAGTGCCTTACTGACTTTAATTTTTACATAGGTTATTGATGAGTGCAGTGTGTGTGTGTGTGTGTGTGTGTGTGTGTGTGTGTGTGTGTAGGGAGGAGAACATGGTCCCAAGTGAGCTCCACTTTGCACTTGGTGTTGTGAATGTTGCCATCTGTTTTAGGGAGTATACCATGAAGCATATTCCTGAAAAAATACTGACATCTACAAGGACAAAAATAATACATCAGTCCCCAAACCCGTTCCCAAACCCCTCCTAGTGAACACTGAAAGGCAGGAAGGTAGACCACACTCCATAAAAACAAAGCCATAGTAATTTTTGTGTTTTGTTTTCCCTTTGTTTATTCATACTCTTTTTTTGAAAAACTAATATGTGTGAGATTAAAAGAATAAATTAAAGGAAGATGAGTACATCATAAAATAATCATTTTATGATTCCAGATCCCCATGTCTTTCTCAGGAGACACCACTGTTAATTGTTCCTTGTTTCTCCTTCTAGAGACAACCTATGGGTGCTCAAGTATAGGCCTCTTTTCATGTCTGAAAATATAGGAACATAGGATACTTACTGGAGATGCTTACGTTTTCAGTCTATAATATATGCTATTTTATATTTGAAAAGTATTCAGTTAAATTTTATTTTTATATAATAGCTAAGAACTTGGTGTATTTAAGCTGAATATATTCGTTTTGGGGGCCTCGAAGTTCCTAAAACATCCCTTTATTGGGATGAGTAGGCATTGGCTTAGCAGGTCGTCTCAGCTGGTAGCATCTAGAGCTGATCCTCCTGGTGTGTGGGAGGGAGTGTGTCCCCTGACCCCACCCACCACGGGGGCACAGCCTTGCATGCAGCTGGGACCTCAGGCAGACAATGCAGTGGACTTGGAGAGCATCCAGTCTGCATTCAGCCTCGGTAAAGTTAGGGAAAATATTATATAAATTACCTATTTGGTTGGTTTTGCTGCTTGCTGATCATGTGTTTGTTGTTTGAAGTTGGTATAAAGTCACTTATGCTTTGAAAGAGAACTTTATCTGTAAATGAGTGCTTCCTTTGGCCTCTCAATTTATGCCTCAGTTTTTCGTATTGCCCAGGCACATAACTTGCTTCATCTCTTAGTAACCCCACTTTTCAGCTCCTTGTTCTCAGAGCTGTTTTTAAGTAGATTCTCAGATCACACGTTTGTCAGGAGTTCTAGAAGATGGATTCTTGAGCACTTTTTAAAAATTCATTTTTTTAATTCTTTTTTTCAAAATTCATTTGCCTGAAGTTCACCATCGAATTTGTTCCAGTCCCCCAGTCTGATTTTCTCATCCCCTCTTCTCTTCTTAAATGGTCTGTGGCACTCTCTTGGAGAACTCATGCAACATTAAAAATAAGTTCTTGAGTTACACTAATTTCCTTTAAAGCTATATAGAAATATTTCTGTGGTCTTTCTGCACTAAATACTATTGCAAAAAAACTTGCAGCCTGTTTTCTGTCTAGATATATCCACATGATACTTTTGTTTGCAGGATTTGATCAGGGTGTTTCTAGAAGCTAGTGGTTCTGTATCATTTTCTAATAAACTATGTCATTTGACATATACTCTTGCCATTGACAGACAAGTCACTTTATTTGGGAAATTCATGCCATCAACCTCCCTTCTGTTGACATTCAAGGTCACTAAGTGTATGTATACTATTTTTTGTTAATAAACTTCATAATTCATGTCTTTTTAATTGATTTTCTTTACTGTTTAATTGTTCCTAATGTGGCTTTTCAACTTCCACTCTATTTATTTTAACTTATTTCTCTATTCCTTTCCAAGCTCTGTTTATCTTTCTTTTGGACTACAATTTCTTCCTTGATTTTCTTCCTTTTTAATAGGATATTAAGCAGGATAATGACCCCTCAAAATGTCAATATTCATAATCCCCAGAATTTATGAATATTTGCCTTACATAACTGAGAAGAATTATATTTGAAGAAGTAGAGTATGGAACAAAAGTTGCTAATCAGCTAGCTTTAAAACAGAGCGGTTGCCCTGGGTTATCTGTTGCGTGGATCCACGGTAATCAGAAAGGTCTTTCATAAACGGGGGAGGAGGCAGGCAAAAGCCCGAGAGCCAGAGAGACGGGAACATGAGGCGGTCTCAGCCTGACACTGCTGAAGGCAGGGGTGATAAGCCGAGGCACAGGGGACCTCTGAAAAGCTGGAGGAGTTGAGTAGAAAGACCCTCCCTGTGGGGGAAAGCATACACTCCACAAAGATGCTCATGTCCTAATCCCCAGAACATGTGACCATACCACTTTTTATGGTAAACAGAAGTTTGCAAAGGGACTAAATTTAGTACCTTAAGATGCATAGATGGTGCTGAGCTACCCAAGTGTGTCTCAGGTAATCGCAGGAGTGATGATGTCCCCATGGGAGCAGTGGGCAGAATGATGCGGTCACTGGAATGAGCGTGTGAGCCAGGGGCTGAGGCGGGTCCTGCCCTGCAACCTCCTGCAGCAGCGCTGCCCTGCCAAATCTTTGACTTGAGCCCAGGGAGCTCTGCTCAAGATTTTGAACCCCAGAACTGCACAATAATACATTCCTGTGTTTCAGGTCACTCCGATTGTGGTCAGGCATCAGAGTGCCAGGAAACTGGCAGAACAGGGAGGGCACATGCTTTTATACCCTGCCTGCTCCTTTGTGTGTCTGCCATTCTCGTTCCCTTTCCCTGCCCTGCCTGATGATAACTGGGTGATCTGAGGCAGTTTTGAATGTGGTCAGGTTTTTGTTGCGGAGTGGTGGGGAGGGGTAAGGCTAAGCAGGGTGCACTCTTGCATTCAAGTCTGTAGTCTGAAATACACTTTCTCCAAATGAATTTCCTTTGCCCAAGGCAGGCCGTGTTCCCGAGATCCAGCGTTTAAGTTGGCCATGGCTCACAGCGGGCCCTTTGTGTTTCTAGCTTGAGTTTGATGCGTTCCTTTTCCTCTGAACAAGGTCAAGTCCACAGGCTCAGCAGCTCTGCTCTCACGGCCACGTGCTCTGCCACGACCAGCTGTATCAGGGCCAGGCTGTTTCTCCCAGCAGGACCTGTATGTCCTCGGGCCTCAGGAGGTGGTCTGTGGCTGGCTGTGTCTCTTCCTGATTGCTTTGGTTCTGGTATACTCAGTGATTTGTGGTTTGTGGTTGTATCTGTCTCTTTGATTCATTGGGGGTGGAATGTATTTCTCATTTTCTCTCTCCCTTTTGTTTTTTATTGTTTTTGGGGCTCTCAGAGAGTGTGGAGGAGTAAATTGTTCACTAGAAGCTGGGAAGCTGCTGTCTGGTGCATGATTATGTGGATGTTGCAAGATTTTGCTTCTAATCTTTGGGGACACCTTGTGCTTTGAGAAAGAGAAACAGGTCACTGTTTTGCCTGGGGGGCTGGGCATTGTTTAGTAACTTTGGGGTTCCTGTTCCAAGTAGGGTTTTGGTCTTGTTTCAGAGCATTTCTTCACAAAGGCTGTTCTGTTAGATTGAACAAGCGAGATTGTATTAGAGATGGGGTAGCTCCCAAGCCAGCCAGGCCTTTCCTTGCACACTGGCGCGAGGGGAACGGATGCTATCCTGGATATCGGTCCTCCTTTGCCTCTGAGGCCTGACCCTGCACACTCTGACTGGGGTGGTATTGTAGAGAACTACGTGACTTTTCCTCAGTTTCCCATTTCCTACAGCACAGATTACCTTTGTAAACAGCTCACTTGCTCCTGTCTACCCAGGAGTGGTGTCGTTACTGAGCTGGGTTGATGTTCATGGTCTCCTTGCATTCTCTGGGGACCCAGACTGCATTTTGGAACAGTTTACAGTGACTTAAGGTATGGTAGTTTTTCACATACTCACTTTATGATAGTAATGTGTTAAGATTTTTACCTTCAGGTTTGCAGAATTTCTCCATCTTTCACAGGCTGCAACAACTTTAAAGTGGAAAAATCCTAAGTTGGAAAGGCTGAGTGTTGGTGAGGACTTTGCCCCATTGAATCCACTGTGTGCTGCCCTGCCTGGAGCCTCTTCAGCCTGCTGCTCTGCAAGCCAAGTGGTATAGAAGCGGGGAGCCGCCTCTGTCACTGTCGTCAGTTACTGGGGGAACCTATAATGCCTTAAAAAGATTGTGAGCTGAAGTCTTCAAATATTTTTATCCTTTCTCTACCTGCCTCCCTGTTTGTGTACGGCTCTGGGCTTGTCAGTCATAAGGATGAGGAATGAGCAGGCTGTGACATCAGGAAATCCAGAAGGGCTGAGCCCCAGCATCCTTGTAAACAGGAAGTCAGCAGAGCCCCAGTTCCAGCCATGGGCTCCCTCAGTGTGCTGTTGTGAAGGTGGTGAGAGGGCGGTGTTTAGCTGGTGTTTGGGAATGACAGCATCCCAGACCTGAACGGGCAGAAGGAGTAGAACTTTGGAAAACAGCCCTCCGGGTCTTCCTTGTGTATCTGGGAAGACAGGAGAAGGAGCTGTCCGTGGCTTCTCCCAGCAGTGCACACATGCCTGGCGTCAGTGCTAGGACGCATGAGCCGTGAGCTCCTCAGGGATTACCCACTACCCCTTAGCTCCTTTCTTCTCCAGCGTGTGGTTTATTGATCTGCTCGGTTCTGTTCTCCAGTTCTTAACCATCTTCTCTTATAATCCCTTCCTCTGTACAGCTCATTATTAATCGTGTTCTCTGTGCTACCTTCCACTTCACTAATTGGCCAGTAATCTATGTCAAATCTACTATAAAAAAGTAGCACTTAGGCTTTGATTTCTATAATTATATTACTTGTTTTCATAAGTTCTCTTCCTCTGTCCCCTCCCCAGGGTTTTTTTTTTTTTTTTTTTTTTTTTTTTTTTTTTTTTGGTCTTTTTCGTTTTTATTGGTACCAGGGATCGAACTCATGACTGCACACTTGCAAGGCAGGCGCTTATGCCGCTGAGCTAAATCCCCAGTCTCCCCCCCCCCCAGGCTTTTTATAGTGCCATACTTCCTTTGTGGTTTCAGGAATCGAACTCAAGGCCTTGCACTGGACAGGCAGGTGCTGTGCTGCTGAGCTACATCCTTGTCCCAGTGTGGCACTTTTTACTTAGAGTTTTTGTTGCTTTTCTTACAGTGTGTGAGAACTGAGCTAGCAGAAGAATATTCACGTGAATATACTTCAATCAATCACTTAAGCGTATTAGCCACTTCTGAGCATCATTTGTTACCTGAACTTGGTGATAGTGGCATGGAGGTAGTTTTCTACTGTTTGTCTGGTCCACTGGCCTATTCTCTTGAAGGGCTGCTACCTTTTGTGTTTGGTCACTTGGTGAGAGCATCCTCAACTTGCCTGGCCAGTGAGGTTGTATTTGTTCTTCTCAGGTCCCCAGAGGTGTGGTGGATGGGTGGTTGTGAGCAGAGCTGCTGTCCGAGCTAAGGACCCTTGGAAGATGTGTCCATCACCCAGCCTGCAGTGAGGGCTGCTGAGAGAAATGCTGTGTTCATTAGAGGTGCAGTGCACGTGGGCCTTAGGCCAGGGCCAGCACAGGGATTCTGCGGGCTCATGGCATGGGGTCCTCTGAAGTTAGGCATGGATTAGGAAATGCAGCCGCGGCACAGCGAAGCAGTGGCTGGTACACTGGCATCACAAGTTCTGAAAGTGTCTGGTGAATGGCCATGATCGGAGCAGTATTGGTCCTGCTGGGGCAGGGCAAGCCGCGCACGGAAGGCTGGCCATGTGTGGAGTCTGTGGATGAAACCTGTTTGAGGTTTCTGATCTTCTGCTCGCTCATTTCTCATGAACTTTAAGAAGAACATAGAACACTTCCGAAGTTTGTGGTTGAGCGCTGCCCCAGGCCAACTGACGCGCACACTTCTCTCACCCCGGCCTCCACAGTGTGTGGCTGCCCTGTCCCACTGGGGCTGCTGCCGCTCCCTACATCCTGTGTTGTTGCTTTCTTTTCTCTAGTGCTGCCTTTCCCGGGACACACTCCCGCTCAGTTTTCCTTCCAAAAGCCTTTTCCTGCCTGTCTTCCTGCAGGCACTGAGGCCAGTCCTGTGAGCCACGGGCAACATCACAGCTCATGAGCTTCCCAGGGATCTCTGCATGTCGGGTCATGGCCCCTGCAGGGCAGGCTGTGGTCTCCATGTGTTTAGGAATCTCATCCACAAGGCACCTTTCTCACAGTGGTACAGGCTTGTACATTCACGACATTCGAAAGGCTCTTTAGATCACACACAAAACTCTGTCTCTGTCTTGAAATCTCTGAGCCCTCCAGTGCCCCATGAACCTCTACCACCAGCACCCCTGCTATAAATAGATTTGAGTGTGGAGTCCTTTCATGCCCTCTCTGGAAGGGGTAGGGTATGAAGTCACTGCGACCTGAGGTCTTCACAAGTAGGCTGCTTTCTGCTGTGACAAAGGTGAGAACGTGATGAGTTGTAGGGAGAGAACCGACTCCTTGCTCTTCAGTTGTTATTACATCCTGGGTCCATTTCTGTCACGTGCTCAGCCTTATGTGAGAGTGCGTGGCCTGCCTCAGGGTGCTGTCTCCTGCTGTGCACTTACTCTGAGGGGTGATGGTCTCAGGAGGAAAGCGGGTCCCTCCCCACCTTGTCTGAGGGTAGGGAGTCAGCTCCCCACTCCTGTTGCCTCTATTTCTGCTTTTAATCTATTGCTGGGTCTCACTGCCCTCACCTTTGTATCATACACTCATTGGAGACTTTTGGTTTAAACATTTTCTTTCTTATAAAAATGGCAAATACTCTGGGAAAATAGTCAATGGAGAGGAAATAAACAGTCATGTGTACACAGAGCATGTCTTCCGATTTTCTTTTTGTCTTTACCAGGAGTTATGTCTTGAGTCTTTTCAGTGTTATTAAATATCCTGCTTAAATCAAGGTCCCCATGGCCACACAGCCCTGCCCAGGCTAGACGTGCTGTGCTTAGTGAACAGAGCATCAGTCAAGGGCTCAGGGGGCTGCACTGTGGCCTTGCTGTGGGTGGACTCCAGAAAGTGACCTGCTCCGGCACAGCCCAGAAGGTCATTGCAAGCGCAGTGTCTGCACAATCCAGGTGTATTGTCAGAGAGCTCCCCTCAGTCCTGCTTTTCAGGGCTTTCAGTGGGTCCCCTGACCATTTTCTTTTAATCTTTGCAATATGTGTTTATTCCGGCTTTTTAAACTTAGCCTTTGGTGTTATATGCTAAATGTTGACAATTCTGTGTTTTTTCTCCATAAGCCTTTACCAAAGAAAGAGAAGAAAAATTAAAATAAATAAATAAATAAATAAATGAATAAGCAAATAGCAAAGAACCTCCTGGCCAGTAGGTGGGCCCAGCCTGGTGGGAAGAGCTGTGCCCACAAGAGTCCTGTGGATCTTATCCCTGAAACTGGATTCCTGGAGGATTCAACCTGAGAAACACGGAAGAGATTCGGAAGTGGAGTGAGAGTGGGAGGCAGGGAGAGGCAGGGCAGAGCTTCAGGGTGGCCAGGAGTGGGTGGGAGCAACTGCCCAGCCAGGGCACAGAGGCAGTAGGCAGAAGTGATCCCGCGTTCGGGAGGAAGCTGTGGTCCCAGAGCCTTGTCCTTTGGAACACCGGTCCATGGGCCACTTGTGCCGAGCTTCCAGGGACTCCTTCAGCGTAGAGAGCCCCACCCAGGGCATCTGTGCCCTCAGTAGCTGTACTCATGGGCATTTGTGCTGCACTAGGTTAGACTGGGTTCTGGGCGATCCGTAGGCAGGGGAGGTTGGGGAGAGTCACAGTGGGGAGGTCCTGAGTGGAGGGGTGCTCACTGTGCAGACTCTAGGCTGAACTCTCCATCAGCAGAACGTGGCCTTCACAGAAGACAGGAGGGGAGCAATGGGTCCAGTTGGACAGCAGACCGCCCCTGCAGTGTCACCAGATGGTCTGCAGTGTGCACGTGTGTTCATCCCACCTGTTTGAGACTTGAGGCAGAACATGGCCTCAGGAATAGGGCAAGAAGTATGTGGCCTTACCAATTTGGGGTACAGGAAACGACGTGAGGAGTGTGCAGTCTCTAGGGAAATGTGTTTGCCTTGCCAGTTGGGCACAGAGGGCAAGTCACAGAAGCCTGCTTTTCACCGCCATTGTTTTAAAACAGGTAGTGGGGTCAGAGAGTAGCATATTTCCCATTCTGTCAGTCCCCTGTGACCAAAGAAGGAGCCTTCCACAGACGGGAAGGGGAAGAGCAGTGCAAGAGGGTCTCTGCTGGCCCAGAAGACACCAGGGTCTCCCCCAACATGTGGAATTCTCAGTACAGCTGTCAGGGAGGCCCAGGTCTCCAGCTCACTGTGAGACTGAGGCTGCTGAAACTGCAGGGTGGTCTCGGCATCCATGAGCAGAAGGAGGAGCCAAGCATTTTTCTGGCAGGGCAGGTTGTGCCTACCCTGGTGCGTCTCTCTCTCTCTCTCTCTCTCTCTCTCTCTCTCTCTCTCTCTCTCTCTGAAACTTACTTACCTGCCTGGCATCAGGTTCAATCCATTATGGAAGATCAGGAGTATTTGCTTTTGCACTGGATGTTCTTTACCTAGCAAATGGAACTCTGTATGGGAACCCGTAACATTTGGGGGGGTGCATTTCCTGGCTGTGGTATCAGGACTGACATAAAACCATTTCTGCCATAACATAAACAATAGAACAAAAGAAAATCCCAAGTTCGTTGTTGGGTCCAAGATTCCCAAAGAGGACTCTGCAGTTCCCAACAGCTGTGAAAACCCTAAATTCAAACGCAACATGAAGCGTAGTCAGTGTTCTGGGTTCCAGGAAGCTGAGGGAAATCGTAACAGATGAGGGAGGAGAGTTGTGCATGTGGACCCTGAAACACAAGCAGGCACTTTTGCATCAGGTTGGCTGGAGGCCAGGGGCAGCAGGTGTTGAGATTCTTGATTGTCTTCTGTGCTGGGTCTTGGGCTGCCCTGTGAGAACCTTGGCTGCAGAGACAGGAGGGGAGGGAGCAGGGTGTGCTCACTGCAGCCTTGGCCACTCCTGGCATCCAGGGTACACTGGGGCTAGAAGGTTGTGAAGGCAACTATCTGCAAAAGATGGCACAGTCAGAACTCTCTGTTTCCTGACTTTCAATTCTGTGTCCCAGTGAATATATCCTTGGAACTTTGAGTAGCTACTGCAGAAAGGATCAGTAATATCTGAATTGAAAGCTCTGATGCGTGAACCTGGAGGTTGTGGCCATCCTAACCTGCACAGGGGATCCTTGCGGAGACCACAAGGGTTTGTTGTGGTGTGAGCGTGGCTCTTGGGCCATTGCCTGCCCTAAACATTTCTCTGGTGCAGAGTGTGGAACCAGTTCCCTGCAGGACAGTTGTGTGCTCCTGAACTTGTCACCATTTGGTGGCGTGGACTGTGTCCCTGCCAGTCCTTGACCTGTTATACTGAGTCACAGGCAGAGGAGAAAAACAGAAAGATAAAAGCAGGCCAGAAACAATGACTGAGACAGAGCCAGGGCTTGTTCATTGTCACTGAGCTCAGTGAGGGCCCTGCCAGGCAAGGGCTTATCTGGGATGTTGTTCTGATGTTGACAGAAACCATGGTCATTGCTTTATGACTGGGCTTGGGCCCGGGAGGCAGCTGTCATTAAGTTACACGGAAGTGGTCAGACTTTCACTTAAAAATTGTGCAGTTTTCAAAGAGCTGGGAAAACAATATAGGTGGGGGGGGGAATCAGTGTCAGAATGTATTTTATTTATTTCCTTTTTTTCGTGGTGCTGGGAGTCAAACCTAGGAGCTCACACGTGCTGAAGAAATACTACCCCTCTGAGCTACACCCTACCATTTGTCAGAACACGTTTTAAAGCAATCATAGCTACTAAGAATTGATAGAAGCTTTTGTTTTGGGGAGGTGGAGTTTGAAAATTTAAGAAATTGCATGAAATTTCCCCAGCAGGTAAGAAGGGATAATCTACTTCCTTTTGTTCAGGAGGTTTTTCTCGGGGCCTCCCCTCCAATGCCAGCATGGGGATGGTTTCATGGGGCAGCCTTCTGGACCCTTTATTTGGGCTTTATGGACAGAGCAAGGGTGACCAGGGTGGACCCCTTTTCCCTGTGTTCCTGTTGCTGCGTGGGGTCTGCAGTCTGCAGAACACAGTGTGGTGTGAGGCTGGATAAGCACATGGACATTTTGTGGGGCTCCTGCACAGTGGTTTCCCACCCATCCACCCAGCTCCCAGCCTCCTGGAACCCGGAGGATTAGTTGTGTAGCCTTGGAATGTAGGGTTTTCAGAGCCCTCAGGAAATGCAAGGTCCTCTTTGGAAACCCTGGCCTCAGCCATGGATTTGGGATTTTCTTTGGTTCTACTATTGCTTAAGTCATGAGAGACATGGTTTAAACAGGGAAATGGCCGTGTCACTTACAGACACTTTCCCAGGACTTAAGTAGGTCAGGGTTTTGTCATCGTTCTGAAGAAATCACAGGTGAGTCACAGTAAATTTGGAGAGAGTCACGAATCTCATCCAAATTCAGAGTGCATCTGTGATATTGTTAAACAGCAGACCTTAATTACTGGCCATCCATGTCCTCTCTGTCTGTCTCCCTCTCCCTTGGTCCTGGCCACACAAACACAGTACATCATACAGTCTCCCTGAAACCAGCTGTGCGAGGCTGGCCCCAAGTCCTGGCTCTGACCATCTGTCCTCTTGCTGGCTTCATTCACAGGAAAATCCAAATCTAGGAACAGGGCCTGGGCTACCTCTCTTCTTTCCGTCTCCCCAGCCTTGGCTGCTTGCTGTGTATGGAAATGCAGCCTCATGCAGAAGTTGTGATTGCAGTTGGATAAGTGTTCACAAGCTAAGTATACCTTGTAAAATACACTGAATCCCAGACACAGAGCATTGCAGCACCCTGGGGCTCCCCCCACAGCCCTTTCCAGCACCAGTGCTGGACCAGCACCCTGCTGGATAACTGTCGTCCTCACTTCTGAAACCACACACTTACTTGACCTTGAGCTTTTTACACAGGGTTGCACGGTGTCTGTGGCTCCTGCCATTGTGGTGTGAGTGTCCTGCAGACCACCGGGTGTGGTTCCACCTCAGTATTTCTCAGTGCCATGTGTGATTCATGAAGTGTGCACTGTGGATGGGTACACAGGTGGTGTCTGGCATGTATTCCACGTCCTTGTTGAGCAGCAGAATTCATACTCAATGCATGGGCACCTGGGGGCACGGTCACACTGATGCATAGCTGCAGCTTAGGACACACAGCAGCTCTCTGGATGAACACCCGCTGCCAAGAAGCTGGAGTGAGGCTTGCCTAGTGGAAAAGGTGGCAGTAGAGCATATTTTGAGTTGACGTTATGTCAAGGGAGAATCTAAATGCTCTTCAATAAACAGTTAAAAATCTGCAAGAAGAGAATGAGCCCCTCCAGAGGGTCTGCCTTTCATTTAAATGAAGGCCTTCTACACTGGAGCCTGTTTGTACAAGTCATTTCTCTCTGTGTTCGGTCAGTGTCATGTGGAACGTCTTGTCCTTGAGAAGCTGACTGAGGTAGGTCGTAGGAAATAGATTATATAGACAAGAAATAGATCATGTGGGCAGGAAATAGATTATATGGACAGGCAGAGGCAAAGCAGAAGCACTGAATGGTCACTGTCCATTTGTCACTTGTGTCCCTGAGGCTTTGGTGAGTGGCACTGTATTTCAGCACAGCTTCTAGAGGCTAAGGGTGCCCATCAGTCAGGAGACACATTTTCACAGGAATTGTGGCTGGACCAGGACTCCACCCTCCTTCAGCATCATGGCTCATGTTCTCAGAGGCTGGGTAGAGCAGGGGCAGTGTTACTGT